TAAAAAACAGCTAATTATCCAAGTTCATAAATGAAATAAGCCTGTAAAGAAAAGCAGATGTCATCCAGTGTGGCTGCCAGAGCGTAAATAGTTGAATGATCCAATTTGGGGGAAGTTAAGACGATCAAACGAGCAGCTGTAGAGAACATGTTTATGTAAGTGGAGTCCTGTGACTGGTCGCCTGTTACGCCATTAATCAAGTAGCAGGCGATCTATCATTATCGGCCACTAGAGGAGGCTAACATGTGCTCCTCCAGTCGGCTCTCCTCCTGCTCCTGCGTATTCTGAATCTTTTCCCATTATTTTAATCATAAGGGATGCAGCATTCGGCAGCTCTTCAATCAGTCATGCTGAGGTCTACTTTAGCTGACTCTCAATTTGTGCAGCTAGCTCAAGATTTAATCTATCTCTCATCGCTCCTTTTTTTATTTTATTTCTCTCTCCTGCTTGTGTAAGTTCTGAAGTGATAAGTCATCACTTGTCATTGGCTCTCCATCCACACAGCCGGCTCCTCTTCAGGGACGCCAAGGTCTTCCCATGCTTTTATTTTTCAAAAAGTTGCAGTTTTTCCTCACAAAATGTTGATGGTTCACCTTGCTTCGGGAACCATGCCTCCACACACAAAAGATATTAAAAAATAAAACAAGTATTACATCTATTTAATGCTTCTGCTCACTTATATAACCCTTGATTCATGAGTCACTGCAGCACCTCCTCTCCAGCAACTTCTTCTGTCAGTCTGTCTGCTTCTACGTCCTCCAGCCATGCAGCAGGACTCCTGCTTCTGGATGACAAAATTAGGACTGTGTTTCTATGTAGAGGCTAATTCCTGTTAGCAACTGCCACCATGCATTAAGTTCGCCGCGGTTTCTAGTAATTTCCATTTATAATTTCAAATGTGTCAGGTGCTGACTAGCTCTTCTGTCACTTCCCCCATGCTACAGTTGGCTGGCGTTTCACACCTATCGTCAATCAGACAACCGAGCGCGCGGCCAGTTATTAATTAAGATTCATACTCGGCTGTCAGCTGCTTAGCATGGCCCTGCAATCGCTTGACTATTTACCATCAGTGCAATTATATGTTTAATTCAGCGGGTGGCCCTTGCTTTGCCCCTTTTGTCATTTCCCTGGAGAGCGGTGCTTGAATTCGGTGCTAACTACGAACCATCTCCGAGACGCTCCCCTGAACAGACGACGTGACTGGTTACGAGCAGCAATTTGCTGATTTAGTCATGCGGAGCCAATTGTACGTGTTATCGCAGTAAAATCACGATGAAATGAAATGATGATACCTGACGAATTGTTCTTAATCCTTCATTCTGCTGTGATTTTGCAACCCAACAGCTCAAAAGGTTTTCGTCGTGCTAAAAGTGCAGCCGTGTCAGAGTGATTTCTGGTGGATCTAACATGAGTTAATGTGGAAATGTGACGGAACGTTTTCCTTTCAGATGGTCAGTGTGAGATGAGGCGACCGGAGAGTCGTAGCTGGGACTTTAGATTACGCGTTGGATCCACCAATCGTAGCTTGCCGTGGGCCGACAATCAGTGTTTACATAAAACACAGATGTGTGAATGAAAGCGACTGGAACCATACTGGTTTTTCCATTCCACTTGGTAGCAAAGCATGTCTATTTCCACAGAGGGTGGCGTCCCATCAGCAGGGTCGTCTATCTGATACGATCGGAGGGCGACGGTCAAATTGTTGGCTTCACTGAAATCAGAAACATTCCTCTTTTGCTTTTGGGCATGTTGAGCAGGAGAAGCGTTCCTGTGGGTTAACACCATGGAACGCATCCTGGAGGTTTTCCATTAGATGACATTATGGAGCGGTTTCCTCGAGAGGCGTCGTGTTGGTCTGGGTTGGAGTCATTACTGGGCCGACAGTGTCTCGTCTGACCCGACTCGTTGTGTATTTTAAACTAACGGTCCACGTGTGAAGACCTTCTGTTTAGCCTGGAGGGGTCTTTTGCTTTTACCGAAATGTTCTCAACACCCACCGCCAGCTATTATCAGCGTCTGAGCTTCTTCCTCCACATCCTGTGAAATGCATTTCAGCCACTGAGTTACAAAAACAAGGTCATGTTGCTTTTTATATGGCTCTAATAAATCTTGAGCCAAAGTACAGGCAAACACCGGGTTGGCCTGCGTACCATATATTCAGCAGATAGCAGAATACGTAGAGAGCCCAGACCTAATTACACGTCAACATGTTTGCATGCGTTTGCTTGTTCGTGTGAGTCTACAACGAGCACGCTGAGCGCTAAAGCTGCAACGCTCCTGATTGGTTGATACGCTGCCGGCAGACCTACAGGACAGAATTTTCCCAGATTTATTTTTTTTTTTTGATGTTGTTGGCATGTGTTTCAAAGAAAGGTATTAAAGAAGTCCCTGGCCTGTGAGGATGATGTGTGATAATAGTCTTGGAATCTTCCCTTTGTTTAAATCCCAGATCAAGCCCTGGCTGCTCGCTCCATCCACAGAAACAATCTGGAGCAAACAGATATAATTAGTTAACTCAATTTAAATCATATTCCAGAAAGGCAACACTCCCTGTGACAGACACGGTTTCATCCCCCTCATCCAGCTTATTGGACGAGCTAACAGCAGTCTGCACTCGTTATGCTGAATGACTGCACAGCGCCTGTGAGCGAGCCGAACGGGGCAGGATGGAGTCTCACAGCAGAGGCCGGCGCACATCTACATTTTAGTGAAAGGAAAACAGGGAGACAAGCGTTTCAGCTTACCAAATAGCATCTCGGCGCTAGCAGACAGATTTCTATATCTGAGCACAATAGGCTTGCCATCTGTGGTATTCCTCTCTCTGTCTGTTTTGAAGATCACCACTTTACCCCCACAGTGACTCCAGCCTCTTAAGCGACTGGATTCGACTGCTGCCTGCTTTGTTGTATGACTCATTTCTACTCTAGTGGCTAACATTGTTAGCTGCTGAGGCTTCACTGACCTAAAGATGTTAGCAATGGCAGACAGCCTTGCAGGAGACGGTCAGCTGGAGACGGTGGGGATGTGAGAGGAGCCGTTTTGCTAAACAGCCCGAGCTGTCACCTCGGCTTAGGCCATGAGACGGGAGAGAATCCCTGGTCGGGAAAAAAACAGCAAAGAAAAGTAGTAGCTCTTTAAAATGAGGTAAACAGGAGGAATGTGGGTCTCAGCGCCGATGAGAGGCCAAACCTAACGTGGCCAAACCGTGGCTAATGATGTCAAATTAGATGAAACGTGCACCATGGGAGATGGCCTACCCTGATCCTTGATCCCAGCTCCTCCTCTCACCCGCCCGCTGTGCATTTCCACCCGGTGTGATCGGTCTGTGCTTGGCCTTTGACTTGTACTGTCACGTATAGGCATTCGTGTCTAAACAGGGCTCCGGAGCCAGGTTGCACCAACGGAAAAAAAAAGGAAATCTACATATCCCAGAGAGCCGCCCTTCCACTGTCGCTTCACCCTCCACTGTTTTAATCAGTCAGCAAACCCCCAGTTAAATTATAGAAGAGAAAAAACAAAACCAAAAAAAAGGGCAAATGGAATAAACAGTGCAGGTAATTACTTCTATATGGTATAGTGGTCCAATAGGTAGAATAGCAAAGAACACTGATCTCAACTGAAGGTACAATGGATTTGATTGATACAGTGTAATGTGATTTAACCACTATCAAAAAGTAGTACCAACACACAGAGTACAAAACTAGTCCTTATATACCCAGCTCCACTCAAGCTATATTATGTTATGCAAGAAAGTTTTACCATATCCCCATCCCCTCCCCCCTCTGCCCCCGCCTCCAGCCCACGACATCCACCACCTGGAACTGTGTTTCCCCACGGTCCTGCAAGGGTGTGTGTGTTCCTGTAATCCAATCAGGAAACATGTCTGAAATATCTCCAACGCAAGGGAGAGGGTGAAAATTATTCTTAATAATGACATAATCAGCAGAGCAGCCATCAAGCAGATAAATTGTCATGCGCATCGTGCTAAAATATCCAATTATCCTTTGTCCCCCAGCTCTCTGTGTTGAAGTTGGAACTGCCAGGAAGTCAGTCGGTGGATCCCCGTCTCCACTGGTTCTGTCCTGCTGGCAGGTTTGCAGTATGGACGCCCCTCCCAAGAGAAGAGGGCTTAAACAGCCTTGGTGCTTAGTGTACAGATCTAGATATGTAAATAGGTTCTATACAATAAAATTGTTCCCAATCCTCAAAAATAAATGGATGAAAAGTATTTGCGAGATTTTTTTTTTTCCCTCAAAATGGTTCTGTTGTGCATACAGGGTTTCTTTTTCTTGAAGTTTTCCGTCCTTCCTTTGCTCTTTTCATCAATTGTTTTTGCCTTATCTTACATAGCCTCCATTTATGATGTTAAGACATGCCTAAATTGGTTTGCACGGCATCTACTTTGTGCCCCACAAACAGAGTAATCTGCCGTGTGATGCCAAAGGAAAACAATATCTTTTCTTTCTTTCACAAAGTGCTCCCCTCTTCTCACCTCCAAGGCGTGTCTGATGCTCTGTTCTGCTTCCAGACAACACTGTCAAGCAGTCATTTGTCAAAAGATCCCGAAGGCCATATCTGTCGCTAGAAAGAAAACGTATTTTACTGTACCTTGTTTTGCTGCAATATCAGAACAAAAATAATAATAATAAAAAAACATCCTCCTCCTTGTTTTAGCTCGTGAGGTTGTTTTTCTTCAACTCTTTATATGCATTTTTTTCTTCTTGTCTTTTATTTTTGTACAAAAACATAATTATTCTTTTTTTTTCTTTTTCCTCTGGTCCAAACCCTCAGAAACCCTTGAATATATTCCCGCAGGTATTAACAGGGTGTTGCACAATCCCAGTGTAATTCCATGGGTGTCTGGCAACTCCAGGCTGGCGTTTCAGCTCCTGACACATCTGTGTTTGTCAGCGAGTCGGCCTTAAGTCTCTGCTGCAGCAGTGGCGTTAGCGTTTCGCCTCAGCCGCCAGAGTCCTGCCTGCACGGGTGCATCCACGGGGCTATACCCGGGTGGTGGAGTGTGAGTGTGGGTGCGGGTGGGGCAGGGTGTTGTTCTGCCCGCTGCTGGGGAAGGTGTTGAACGAGTGGAGTGAGGTGAGCCCTCCCATGGTGCTGGGGATCATGGTTATGGTGTTTGGCGTCATGAGTGGGATGTCATCCGGCGAGCGCCTCATGGCCAGAGTGTAGTCCGGCGGGCAGGCAGTCCTCAGCACCACATCGTGCGGGTGCAGAGAGTCGCCAACCCCCCTGCAGTCCCGGTCCAGGTCCGAGTGCTGCTTCATCTGCAGGGACATGATCTCCTCCTCCTGAGTGTGGGCCAGGTCGTTGGCGGCGCTCCGCTGGGGGCTGCAGCGTCTGTGGACGTCGTGCCGGCGCTTGTCCTTCTTGTAGTAGAGCGCGGCGAAGGCCAGGATGTTGAGGAACAGCAGGGAGGCTCCCACGGCGATGGTCACCGACAGCTCGGTGGAGTAGTCGCGCTGGTCCACCAGGTGCGGTTGGTTGTGGCTGTCCTGGGTCTCCGTGGGGAACGGGGTCGGCTGCGGGCGCTTGGTCACCAAAACCTTCGTCTTCGGTGTCCGGTTGGTGGCTTCTGGTGGAGGGATCTGAAGACAGCAGGACAAACGGTGAGTACGCACTTGATTTGAGGAGTTTTTATTTTAGAGTCGCTACATATTTCTTTATTAAGGAAAAGCTCTGAGCACTCAGAAGGGATTTACGGTCTTTAGATAACACTGTCACTATTGACTTAGATCTTCACTCAGACTCAATTTTCTCTTCTCTAATAAAGTTTCTTATTCTTTCTTTTGCTTCTTAGAGAAAACCGTCATTGTCGGCATTCTCAGTGCAGAGACGGGAAGATGGAGGAATCATACAACCTTCATCTGTTCAAAGTTTGTATAAAACCGCACCTTCAACAAGCGTTTTATTTATTTATTTTTCTAAAGTTGCTTCTGTCGACCGTGAACTTTGCACAGAGAGTTGGCTCAGCTGCAAGCATTAATACACAGATGAGACCTTCCTCATTCTAGCTCCATGTTGAAGGGGCTCACAGTGGATCTAACAAGCAAAGAAGTAAATGAGTGTATTTCCCAAAACGTTGAACATCTTGAGGCCTTTGAGCAAAGACTTCTGTTGTTGTTCCTTTGCTGCAGATTAGAGTTTGAAAACATATGAAGGTCGTGGAATCTGTAGTGTTCAATAAATCACATTCTGAAAGATGATAAACACAAATTCCAATAATCACCCATATTCACAGGACCATCCATGTGTATTCGTGCTCCACAGGTTGGAAAAGTGAACTGAATGTGGCTGCTGATGCAAAAGGCAGCCACACTGGTTATTTATTCGTTGTCATGCTTCCTGCTCCTTTAATTGATTTAATACTGTTGAGTGTTTTTTGTTTGTTTGTGTTTAATCTAAATGTTCAATTAGTCTGTATTCACTATGCATGAACAGCTCTTATTCATAGTTATACAAGCTCAGAAACGTGACTTTAAACTTAACTTGAAACTACATTCTTATTAACTGATATCACCTGTAGTGGTGGTGTTTATGGGATTGATGCTAACAGTGAAGCATTGTGGCTCACTACATGTGACTGTGAAGAACAACGTGTTATCCGGTATGACGGACACTTTAACGTGCCGTAGCTCATATCAGGTCTAATCACATAAACGGGAGGTCAGCGGAGGCTGCCGGGGCCGGATTAGGGTCAACAAACAATTCCAATGTTGCATTAAACATTTCCCTTATGAAGCTGCTTGGGTGTAGTCCAGAGCCTTTACTGTGGAGGGGATGACTCAGGTAGTTAACTTTTAGTAGCGTGATGACATATCGATGATTAAGTGCCAACCTTGGTGGTGGTGGGGATGAGCTGGGTGACCTCATTGAGGCTGTGTAGATGAGGAACCAACTCCAACCACAAGTTGACCTGAGAAAAAAGACAAAAAAACAAGTCGGTGTGTTTTAATTAATTATATTAAGCTGAGAATTCAGTAAAATTAGGACATGAAGTAAAATTAGGACACAAAAGCATCATACAAAAGAAAGATCAACAAACTGACTGCCAGCCTAATATCTGTACATCTGCAGCACATGAGTCAATTAAATTCAGTTTTATTTACCACTGATCATAACATATGTCATCACAGAGCGGTTAAATGAAAGTTCAAGACCTTACAGTTCAGAGAAACCCCAAAAAGTTGATCTTTGAGCAGCGTCTTGCAGCCCTGCGGAGGAAAAAACTTCCTTTTGACAGGAAGAATCCTCCAACAGAAGCCGACTCGGAGGGAGGCTGCAGCCTCGACCGGCTGGTGTTAGAGGAGAGCAGGCAGAGAAAAGACCAGCCTCCAGATAAGAAATAAGAGGATAGCTGTCATGGTACGATGTGAGGGCCTCTTTAGGTTACCTGGGTTCACTGAACTTAACATCTGTGATCCTGGATAAGTGGTATCACAAAGGTACCAACAAGCTCAGGAGAGTTTTTCTACCCGTCCACATTACTGGGGCAGAACCGTTAAATACTGAGCATTCACAAGGAATAAATGAGGCTGCAGCCCACCAGAGCTCATCTCCACCTGCTTCGGTGGGACATCGTCATCATCACTAACCCACAAGCAGCTCTTGAAATTTACTCCCAGACGCTGTGTCGCGCTGAACAAACCTCTGCTTTCTTTTCTTTGACTTTATCAAACAACAACAGCAGTTTATTCAGTCAGCCCATGTACAGAGAGGCTGCAGGCACAGCAGGAGACGTCACATGTCACTGTGACTGCATGTAGCATCACTACCCTAAATGTTTATTTTTGTCTTAATAGCAAACAGCTGCACAGATTCACGGTTTCTACGGTGAATTTAACGAAGCAGTCGAGCTCAGGATGATGCAGCACCATCACAGGTGTGAATGCATTTTATATACTTACCAAATATTATTTATATTCTCCATTCTGAGCAGTATTTTGAGGGCACATCAGGGCATTATTAGACATAGTTTTGTGTTAATATTTGCAGTGGTGGCATTTCTGCATGAACTGATTCTAAAGTAAATAAAAAACACTGATAATAGAATTCATTCGACACGGCCTGTGAATGATGGTAGATGTTTAGTTGGTCTCTGTCTATTTTTTTATTAATAGCGACGATGCACGTGTTTCCTGAGCCATCGATTAAATATTAATAGTGCTGTAGTAATATTCACATTCATAGTAATAATGCTGATGTTGTCTCACAGGGCTTCAGAGGAACTCGTTTCTTCATTTTCACAGGAAGTACATGTACAAATAAAATAAGATAAAATGTAAATGAGAACGCTCTGATTCCTCCCTGATGCAATCTGGATATTTAGATAGATTTAGATCTGAAACACCACAAGCAGGTGAATGTTGGTGGTGCAACATTAAAAACTTCTGCTGTATTCTCTAAAGAAACCGTCTTTGTTATTCTGGACAATCCACCGAACACAATGTGTGGAGTTTCATCTGGAGCTACTTCCTACTGAAGAAACTGTTTCTGCTGTTTGCAGTCTGATATGTGAGCTAAAGGTCCCGCGTCCTCACAGCATAGATCAGCTTTGTGATTTCCCCTGATTAAAAGTCAGCCACTTCATAGAAGCCCAAAGACATCCGGCTGTCCATAATGTATGCATTCTATTTCTGTCAGCGCTGAAAACGCTCCAAACAGAAAGTGCAGTCAGCAGGCCGGTGGATACCTTGTTGGCTCGGTAGTGCTCCTTGACCCGGGGCTTCAGGCCGATGTGCAGGTAAAGCTGGTCTTTCTGGTTGTAGCGTGTCCATGCAACCTCTTCAAAACGATTGGGCTTGGTGTGGATGAACTTGGTGTCCTGGGGGACAGGCTGGTTCGGGTCCCTGTGAAGAAAGCACAAAGGAGAAAAAAGTTTCCAATGAAAGAAGTCACAGAGAGGTGAGATTAGCTGACAGTCCTACAGCAGAGCACCACAGAGGCCTGTCTGAAGACAGAGCTGCTCATGGGAGGTCAGTCCATCGTTAGTAGGTACGTCTGCCTATAACTGTTCACCTGAGAGGACAGGAAGAACCAAAACCAACGGTGGAGTGGACCTTTTGAGACACAACTGCCTGGTTATTAAATGTCTCATTCTGACCTAAGTGTAGCATCTGCCCGAGGCTAATCAGTGTAATTATGAAAATAGTGGGATGCAGTGGTGAAACTCAGCCCGCAGGTTTCATCAAATTTTAATCAACAGTGTCTGAGATATCACACCTGATAAAATCCAAAAAAGGTCAAAAGGGGTATTATTGCTCAAAGATGATTGGTTTTCTAAAGATTCTGATTGAATGGAAAGGTCTTAAGATAGCTAATAACCTCGCAAGTTTCTCTCATTTCAAGTTTCATTAAAGTGCTAAAAAAAAAAATGCATGTCACAGTTTTTTAAATTATGGATGTCTCCTTAGAAGTGAACCTATTTAGACATAATTTATACATGAAAAGAAGCTTCCAGCCAAGGAATATGTTTGGGCAAAGATGCAGTTCAACCATGCTGATAATTCCTGTAGAGCTTAATGCTTCAGTGGCGACTATAAACCCAGCTACTGCTTTCATGTTGGGTGCCATCTATTTTTGCTCAAGTTCAGACTTGAGCAGCAGTAATAACACGAGGCTTAAAAACAGCGTGGATGCAGGTCAGCAAACCATATGAATGACCCTCTTATATTCAGAGCAGGAGCTCACAGACCGCATTCAACATGGGATCCTGTGCTAAATAGGCCCAGTCGCACTTAATCTGACCAGAACAGAGCCAGCCATGTGAGCTATTGAGGCCCATTCAGACCTACTGAGCGCCCCATTGTCTGAGAGCGGCATATGGAGCTCGCCAGACCTCATCAGGAACACGCTTAACCATTCAAATTGGTGGCATAAATCTCCCAGGTACCCAGCATTCCACGTCAATTTGGGGTTATATATGTAGATCATTAGTGCCTTTCTGTTCCCCTCAGGGCTACTGGGCAGTGCACAGAAAAAGCCAATGTCCCCCCATTAAGCTCCAGAAAAACAATTACCGCCATGGCTATATGCTGGAAGGCAACATCAGACAGAAGGGGGGGAAAAAAGGATTTTAATTTTGTCCCATCCAGAATGTCACTCTTCAGGCTGCGACCATTAATTAATAATGTATTTGAAGATATGTAGAGGGTGTCTGCAAAGAATACCAATTACGCTGTACAGTTCATAAAACCCAACAGCATAATGCACTGTTCCTGGTCATCAAATGTGGGTTAATACTGAGGAAACACAATCACATTATCAATTAGTTCATGGGCTTGTAATGGTATGTTGATCAAGCACAAGCGCAGAGCAAATGCCCACGAAACTGTTTAAATGAGCCTCAGGCAAGAGAGCCTTCACACAGCGATGGTATGTACACGGACAAGGTAAAGCTTGTAAACCAGGCCGTGACATTATTTGCATAATTAGGTGGAATGTTTAAGCAGGATCGCTTCGTAAATTGTTGTTTTCTTATTCTGTGAAATCCCACTTTGTGCTGCGCCTTATAGGCTATCGGGTTCCACACGTTTCCTTCTCTGCACCACGTTTCTTACATTTCTGATGATTACTAACAGTCAAGCGTTCTACAGGGGAAAAAAAAAGTGGTTTAAAGCTTTCAGAAAGTATTCTAATAAGCTGGTTTGATGCTGCTGAAACTCTGTTCCACCTTTCATTGTCTTCACCGTCATCCTGTGACGTGTTTATTTTTTGCACTAACACTCTTTAACTTCATTGATTAAAGATAAATGTCTGAAAACAGCGAGTGAAAAGGTGCTAAAGCAAACCAACATATCAGAAAGACATGAAGGCTTTACCTCTAATCTCATCTCTTTTAAAACATAGACAGGAAATACGGCTCTTATATGATTAGAGATCCTCTCCGATAACGTATATTTTTTAGCTTGCTGACCAATTCATATGCCGTTTTTTTTTTTTTTTTTTTTTTTTATATACGTGTGCAAAATAATCATCATGGTGAGCATTTCCACCTTTCAGAAACTTTGAACTTCCTGGGTTTTATATGTGACAAACTCCTGCAGGGTGGGACTTTCTATACCATCATCAGTTTGAGCATTCACGGCTGAATTATTCATTTCCATTGTGCAGCACACGGTACCGAGCAGAATCAGCAGTGAGCAGGTGTGCTCAAGCTGCAGCGACTGGTGGAGAGGTGGGTGGTGAACGCAGGGAATATCTTGCATTTTCAGAGATTCATGCATACTACAACAAACAGTTTTGTAGTTACATCTAAGCCATTTAAAGACTTTTTTTTATTTTTTATGCTAAAACTTCTAAATACCTCTGAATCATTCAGACGAGTTTCTAAGAGTCTGATTGGTGCCTGGAGAGGATAAAACGTCGACCTCCTTCTGTTTGAGCCCAGCATTGTTTGCAATGAGATGTAAAAAGTTATATCGAGGTCACGCGACATAAAAATAAATTTAAAAAGCTCCATACTGTTTCCTGACTTTAACAACGCACGCGGTTCCTGTAAATCCTCCTCAGTCCTCCTCGTATCCACGTGTTCTGGTCATACGGTGAAAACTGCAGAATTCTGCCTTAAAATCTTTTCATTTATTGCCCTCCGCGTTGGCCGGTGCCCTTGCTGGTCATTTTAGTGCCCTTTCTCCTGTGCTTCCCGTCTCAAAAGCCCTCATGAGTCACTGACACACTATTAAAATGGAAAGAAACCATTTCAACCATCTGTACATGGCGGGTTCATGACATACTTCTCTACATCAGATCAGAGAATTTGCAGGTTTCTGCGTTCAAAGATTAAACAATAGAATATTCTCCTGATGGAACTATTACAGATATCAGTGCTGACATGAAAGGGTACAGCCATCATCTAATTCACAATAAAGGCATTATAGCTGCTAGTGAGATCACACATGTACAGTCAGTCTGCGCTTTAGCTGCTTCAGATGTTGTGCTTTGAACTCAGGCTTTGTTGAGTCAGGTTCATCTGGACACCATATAGAAAGTGAGCTGTTTGGGTTCGTGTGAGCCACGTTTGTGCGTCGTCGTACCCCGTCTTGGCAAAGTTGGTCCAGTAGGTCATGACCACGGCGCTCAGCATCACGTCGTTCTTGGAGAAGTTGCAGGGAAACAGCTCCGTCGGTCCGATCATGGGGAGCCCGAACACGTACGGGATCTCGTCTCCGTGCGCTGCGTCTGCCCACGGCGGTACCTAATGAGCAGCACAAGAATCAAATCACATCACCGTTATTATATCTGTGTGACAGATAAAGGACATAAACAGGCATTATTTTGTTGCATGATGGATACTGTGGTGAGACGCACATGCACAGTCAGATTAAACAGGCTGGATAAAAAAACCAAAAACATATAGCTTTTGAGCAAAGGAAAGGGGAAATGAGGTAAGTTTTAATATTTTTTTTTTTACCTGCCATATCTTGCTCATTATTCAGTGTGTTAGAGAGAGATGAGAAATAAAAGGATGGTGCTGACAGAAGAAAATTGCTTTGTGATGAATATAAACGAAGACGCAGCGTACGTATCACCAGCTGTAGCCGGTCCAAGGAAAAATAATAATAAAGTGTAAAAACAAAATTTAAGGATTTTAATCACCGCTCCTCATTTTCCTTGTTTACTTGATAAAAGTGTCATTTCTTTGGCTCTGAAACTTTTAGCGGCGGCGGCGACAACGAGCTGCCGGCTCTTCACTGATGGCCTTGTGGTTCACAGTAATTACAGCAAATTAAATTGCATACAGTGAGTGATTCTTTACGAGAATCTAAAGTATTGATGTGTCTAAGCTGAACGAAATGTACATTTAGAGATGGATTCAACACAAAGTTAACAAAAAACTGATGCAAAAATGTGCTTTAAATGGCAGAAGGTGAGGAAAAGACTTTAAACTCTGCAGGTAAACTATCAGGCTTTAGTCCCAGCTGTGGATGATATGTGCATATATTAGCTGTCACTAAGGGCTTTAGAAACACAGAACAAAACTATATTAGAACTTATGTCACATCATCTATAAGGTAGACCATCACTGAAAGCTAGAGACCCACCTGTTCTGTCTGACAGTGATGGTAGAAGGCATAAAAGTAGGTCGGTGAGCCAAAACTGGAGTGCAGGTCGGCCGTGGCAACAGCTGGAGCCACCCACTGGTGATCGGTGAAGAGGGCCAGCAGCGTCTTGCGGCGTGTCTCTGGGTTGTGTCGGTCGGCCCAGTCCGTGTACATGAACTTGATGGTTTCTCGGAGGATGTCTTTGCCCTCCGGGTAGCCGTAGAGGTCGTCCACAAAGCTGGACACGGCGTAGTCAAAGTCGTTGGCCTGCACGCCGTTCTCGTTGTCCACGATGAGCTCCACAAACTTCAGGCCTTCGCCCTGGTTCACTCCCAGCATTATGTCGTAGTTGAGGAACTCGCCTGGTGAGAGACGTGCAGATGGTTGTTAAAGTACAAATTCAAAGTAATAGCACAGTAAGAAGCTGCTGACTCTTAAGTGGACTGGTACCTTGCTCCATCAGTATCTGAGGGTCATCGGGTATCACATCTCCATCAATAACGGGGCCAAAGGCGATGTGGTAGCGAGCCGGCTGGATGTCCTGATCCACGAGCTCCTTGTAGTGTTTCCTCTGCAGGCACGCCACCAGGTCTACCGTGTCCTCCAGGTTACAGCCCACCTTACGGGCCAGCATCCGTGCGTACTTGGCTGGCTGGAAGCTGACGGCCCAGCTGGACAGCGCCGTGCCGCTCTGAGCGATGGCTCTCTGGAACAGGCCTGGAGACGACAGCAACAGAAGGGCAGTGAAGAGGATGGAGAAAAAAATACCTGATTCTTCTTTCAATGAGCAGAAAGAGAAGCTTCTAAGTGTATAAAATATGTACACAGATACATGATAACGGATGAAAAGCTGCTTCTCAGCTGCCGATAATCTACATTTGTCAACAAACTCCATGAAAACACTGAACCCAACAGTGAATGCACCAGATAGACATGCTGTGTATGTGAAGCCTGATGGATCTGATACCACCGGGTCACAGAACTGCTGCTGAAAAGCTTTTTAAAACTCAAAATCAATGAGCCACACTGCTGCACTCGGTGAAATGTTCCTTCTTCATTATGAACATGGTCACTGTCGCTTATGTTAAATCAATTCCAGCGACACAACCTCCAGTGTGAGGGCACAACAACAGCTTCAGAGAGTCGAGTTTTCAGCAGCCTCACTAACTTGATGAGTAGCATGATGAGACGGTGCTGAGTGAACAGGCCCACGGTACAACTACTGTCCATAAAAACATAAAATAAAAATAAACATGTTCTTCTGTCTTTCTTTCTATGAACTTTTAACAAAGCAGCACAACAAAAGTCAACATTCAAATCAACATTAAATAATAAATATGAGAGGAAACAATGGAAACACCAAATGATGCCCATCAGGAACATCTGTGTAAGCAGATTTTAAAACCCACACAGTTTAATATTTCTCTGATCAAACCATTTCCATGGAAACTATATCAGCTCAGTTTGACATATTCAGACACTTGTCAGACAATAAAGAAAGCACGGCTCACAAATGCAGCAGATAAATTCTTTTTGTAATCGGTTCAGACAGCAGACTGTTTCTTTACTAAACCTACAACACTTTGCCAACCCTCCACCAGACAACGCTGCTCTCTGGCCACAGCAGCGTTAACCTTGTGATGACTTCTGGATGTGTGACGCCCGCCTCGCAGGTCACAGCTGTCCCTTAAGCACCAGATTTGTATTAATGTGACATCTGAAAAGTTCTAAATATATTATAACTTCGCCATTTCTTATTTTTCCCATTGCCTTCAGTAAATCTACCAATCACGTCAAACATTAAAAAAACCTGCTTGGTCACATGTTCTGTCTGGTGTTATTCTATATGTGCCGTACTGTCAACACATTTCACAGAAATAATTCAGCCAACCATGATTATATCCATTTAGAACCTGATATGTCCATTTAAAGGCCAGTACATCTTCTTTTTTGTGCAATCACAATCTGTCTTGGCAACATCAGATGCTGGATCATCCTTCAACTGAACAAACACCAAACTGAGGAAATTATATTTGGTCAAATCAGCTCTGTTCAAAGCTTTAACAATGTGATCGGTGCTTTATTTGAAAATGTGCACGATGTAGTCAACAATCTCATGTATTCCTTGATTAACCAGTCAGGAGCGTTGGAACGGGCTTCTGGTAGATTAATAGTACCAACTGGACCTGCTTGAGTTCCTTGAAGACGTTCCACCTCTCATCCAAGAGGCTTCATCAGCTCTGACTGACTAGTTGGGAGTTCCACATACTGGTATAGTTCCAGATGTAGGTATCTGGAGTCAGGCAGAGCTGATGAAGCCTCTATGGCTATATATAGGCTATGAGAAGAACCATGACCTGGAGGACTGAGGATCTTCACAGACCATTTGAAGGGGCCACTTGGGTCACCTTAGAACCATCTGGACCGGAAACATGCATGGATTCATTAGCTGAACTCCTGTAAGTTCCTGTTTATGTGGTTGACACAGTCCAGCATTAACGATGATTAGCTGCCAGGCTCTTTACTGGTATGAATAAAAGCAGCACATCACTCTGGTTTGGACTAATTGGCTTCAAGTGAGATTTGGAACTGATTTTGTTTTTAGAAAGCCTTCTATGGTTTAGCTCCACCACACACTGCAGACGTGTTTTCTTTCTTTAGTTCACGTCGGTCATCATCACGGATCCTCACCCATGAAACCAAACAGCTGTTTTGGTTCCCACATCTGTCCTGCTCCACATTAAACGCTGACCAACCACCGGCAGGTTTAAATCAGAATTAAAGGCTCACCTTTGTTCCGTTGCTCTCACTTCTTCCTGAAGCTGCTCTAGTTTCATAGATTCTAGTTTCTTGCTGTCATTTAATGGCTCTGTTGTTTCGTATCGATCGGTTGCCTGATTTCTGGTTTTCTCTCGTAGCTCCACCTCTGTTTCTATCCAGGCAACATGCTTTACATCAGCTGTCCTGTCTCCACATTCTTTATGCATTTATATGCACTGCTGCATGTTACTAACTTTGCATCTTCCCTCTCCGGCGGTGTGTCCTCTCTGTCCTCCATCTACCTCTCTGCAGGTGTCTCTGACTCTGGAGCTGCATGGCTCTGATCTACTGGTTACTCAACCGGTCCGCTCTTTGTTCTCTTTTGTTGTAGTTGTCTGTTTGTCTCTGCTTTACTTTTCTCTTTCCCAGATGGCCGTCCTTCCTGGGTCGGGTTCTGTTGGAGTTCTCGTCCTGTTAAAATTCCTCTCCACCGTCACAGCTATGCTGGCTGATAGTGTGCTTGGATTTGTTAGGTTTCTCCTTGTAGCATTTCATAGGGTCTAATTATCACATTGGTCAGGTAAACGTCCATAATTAATACTAGGGTTGGGTGTAATTAGACAGGTAAATTAGTATTTTATATATTTTAGATGATTCACGTAAACGAACATCATGAATCACTCTGTAGAGTCAGAATATTTAAACTTAAAATTTGTATTTCTTCACTGGAAAGCACTGACCTTAATCTTTTAAAGGTGCTATATGTGTAACAGAGACTTGGCTAGACTGTACTACTGTTGAACTCGTCTTCCTACACGTGTTGGGACAACAAGTCAACACCTCTTATGTTGCCACGTGCAAAATCTCCTATTTTAATGCATTCAGTGTAGGTACGAGATTCCTGTGTGGAAAAAACAACATCTGATGAAACGTCTTTGCTTCACATCCAGAGCCTGTGTGTCTATAAGGCTGCTATAGCTACTGTATACCTGCCTGCACATAAAGTGATAGCCAGCCCAACGCCTTCTCGTCTCTCAGGGTGTCTCTTCACACCAAGCAGAGCTGCAGCGCTTTGCTTCACCTCTGGAGTGTTCTCCACTTAGAGGTAGTTAACTCAGCCAGGTGGAAACACCTCCGTTTGAACGCAGGTAACATCTCATTATCGCAGCTGAATGCTGTATTTATAGTTAAACGGAGGAAAGGCAGCACCTACTGAAGAACATAACGTTCCAATCATAACCCAGAGTTGTACATTAACTGTAGCCACAACAGCTCCTATCTGCAGAACAAAACCACCAACTGTACTGAGTGTCCTTTGCACCACGTGCCACACTCTGCTGAGGCTCCTGCAGCGCTGCATATAAACTTTAATATCCGTGAAGATCCCCCATGACTTCCTGGGAGCTTTACCTTTGGTGGAGTTGCTCCAGCGGTTGCCCTCAGAGTAGTGGGACAGCGTGAGAAGGTTCACACAGGAAGCTCCGGCGCCCGAGCCGAACACGGTGATACGTAACGGGTCGCCGCCGAAGGCTGCAATGTTCTCGCTGGTCCAACGCAGAGCCTGGATCTGATCCAACAGGCCGTAATTCCCTTTGGCTGCCTGGTCACCTGTACTCAGGAACCCTGAGAGAGGACAAAGACAGAAGGAGATGCTCGGTTAGCTTTTTATTTTTATTAGTGTCTTCAGCAGAAGGGTTCAATAGCAACAGCAGGACCAGAGATGAAGCGAGTCAGGACAGGATATGAGGTAGAAGTTCATTTAGCTGAGACTTGAAGAAGCACTGCTGCCACTTTTCTTTCTCTCTCTGTTTCTACCACAGGAGTTACTCCATCACTGCTCCGATAGACGACAGGCAGCCAGATGAAGGAGAAACATGAAGACCAGCAGCTGATACACGGTTGAATGCAGTGTGTAGAATAATGTTTCTGTAGGATTCTACTTTATATTTATCGGTTGATAGTTGATCATCCCACAAAATAAAAAGTGAAGGCCAAGAGGGACACAACTTGTTATTTTAGATTTCTTTTTCTTTTTGAGCTCGTTGCCTAAAAGAGAGCAAACAAAAATCTACTTTTAGATCATCAGGGCATAACTCAAATGGATAATGAGGCATGTTTTTTCCATTGTGGAAGAAAACCAACAACTCTGGCTATCTGATAATTTCCTGCAGAGTTATTACTCTGCAGAGCCACTTAAAGTGTTGATACCCTAAATATAGCACAGACGACTTATTTTGGTGAAAGATGCTCTGAATAAATTATGATCTCGGCCCAAACCCATAATGAGATGCGATCATATATCATGAACACAGATCTTTATTTCAGCAGAGCAACATGAGTTTTTTTTCGAAAAGCCAATGAATCAAATCCACTTCATGGATGTGTCTGAGCTGGTTTCATTTCTGTTTTTTTTTCTTTTTTAGATCTAAAAACATGTTTCTGTAAATCAGATCAATCAAACAACAAAGATTCATCGATATTACAGTTTCAGCCCTTTTTTTTTTTTAAGGCCATGTCAAACTACAATATATTTAAATCAATTAAAAATTCCACTCAGAATTACAATCCACCTCGAATGCCTGAATGAAACTCTTATAGAAATATAATGTCCTGTGATATATTTTAACAGCATACAGATCCACTGAAACCTAGTTTTGAACGACAGCCTTTTATGCTGACATAAAGGTGATCATCCATATTAATTAGTGTTGCCTCAACAACCCAAAGTGCAGCAAACAGCAGCAACAATGTGATAAAACTGATGCTCAGGTGTTCTTGAAGCAGAGATTTTATTGTATTTTGAAGTCTTGCCCTTAATTTGTAAAGGTTCTGGTGCATGAGTGAACAGAGTACACGTGAACACAGTAACTCTGCAACGACAGAGACGCAACGTGCAGTCAGATCAATAAATAGATGCAAATAAACCAACTGTTTAGCCGCTATGCACCAATCAGCCACAACATTAACCCCCCCCCCAAGACGCTCTGACCAAATCCTCCAGCCATCACAGTTTGGTTCAGAAGTCGCTCATATCCTGATCCTGCCCAGTTTCCATGCTGCCAACACGACTTCAAGAGCTTACCTGCTGCCTCTCCACCCCTGGACAGGTGTTGTGCAATAAGGTAATCAATGTTATTCCCTTCACCTGTCAGTGAAAATGTCAGAGAAGCTCTACTGATCTAACTGAGAGTTAGCCAGATGTTTAAAAGGACAGTGCAGAGAAGTCTTGGTAGCCTTGCTTTCTATTCTTTAAATCTGTCTTTGCTAAACTCCAACCACGTCAACATATCTCAACATAACGCAGAACAGTGACATAATAATACAACAAGTAGTGAAAGATAAAATGTCCATCCGTGCTTTTAATCTATAATCTTTTATGAGAGCTGAATGGTACCAAGTATTACCTCTAATATTATGCATAAGTCCGTACACGAGCCTCCGATAATCACAGCAGAACCATTTCCTCTCTTTCATCCCGGACACACCATAATGGACACCCGCTCTCCCCATCTACTCTTTTTTTTTTTCTTTCCCCAATTAAAGCCCTCAGGTACTCCCGGTCAGCGCGGCTGCATTAAGATCCAGCGCCGGCGAGGTGTGAATGTAGTGACGAGACAAGGACCCTCAAGTATACCCACTGGAGAGCTCTGGTCTTTTAGAGCAATTTCATGTCCATTCCCCACCACCTCCCTCTCCCTCTGATTTCCATGCTAAAAGCTCCATTACCTGCAGCAGGCATCCAGGGAGCACCCCACTCCCACCAGCACCACCCATGGACTATCCCCCCCCCCCACGCTCACATTTTTCCTGCCCTGTCCCCTTTTATGTTCTTATTCTCACCACTGTCCCGCTCGCTGGCTAAATGAAATGCTTATTACGCAGTGTCAGTCAACGGCGCTGCTCATTTCCACTGGGATGCGCCGAGGCCGTGTGCACAGAGACGGCCACGGCGATGCCTTTGAGGAGGTGCTCGCTGCAGAGTGGAGCCAGTTATCGCTGCTTTGAGAATAAATACCATACATTTTAGGTCGTGTCTTTGAGGTGAACACCATATACTGTAATTTCCCCCAGCATGAATAAATAAAAGGCAGTTCAAAACACTGGGAGGAAGTCGTTTCGTTTCCACAGCACTAACACCAGCAGCAGCCTTCAGTCAAGGAGACTCTTGTTACTCCCCGTAGTGTCACGATGCCTTTTTAAAAATACATATTGTTTTGACGCGATGATTTATTCCAATTGCCTTCACTTCACTGTTATTTTCGTTTATTAAACTACTGTACAGCATAACACCTATGGCCAGTGTTTCACATTAAAACTAAGGGAGGAAAGCCAGGAAGTATGTTGATGACAACCAGAAGGTTGAACTGAAAAGTGACCAAATTAATAAATAAAATAAAGCTGGAACGAGACACATTACATAACATAACACGTAACATACATTATTATTTATAATGCATCATTCCAGTCATTTCAGGTGAATAAATCTGATTGAACTCCAACAAATATATGATTGAAAACCCAAAGACAGTACGCATGATAACACAGGAGAAACCTTTCAATCAGAAGGCAGCCTCGCCTCAGAATATATCCTGTTTTATTGTCTGTCTTTCTCTTAAAGGAGACCAGAGTCTACAAAATGAAGATCATCTGTATTGAAGGAGATTTGAAACTAGCAACTGAGACCATAAACAGATGAGGAAAATGTTTACTGAGGAAATAAATCCAGTGAGAAGTCGTGTCATCTCTCATAGACTTCTATACAACCAGATGATTCGCCCCCTGCTGGCTGTTAGAAATAACGCAGCGTCGCACCATTATTGTGTCAAGTCTAATTAATTTAAAACGTGTTTGTGATCAGCGCTGCAGAAGTCAAACACTCACATGAGTACTGCACTTTGTGTTCGGTGTTAATTAGCGAATGTGGAGCATTCTGACATTTGAAGCCGTGAACACAGTAAACATGACGCTGTGATGCTACATGCTAACATCAGCTGTTATCTGACGGCAGCGTTGTGTCTAAGTATAGCCGAACAGAGCAGCTGCATGGCTCAGGACTCTTACATATGGCTATAGGGATTATATAAACCTGCAGCGACTCATTCTGCAGGGATCTTTCATTACAATAGCGCTGTATGCATTTTTATTGCAAATTACGCAATGATTTGAATTAATGTGCCTGTTAAGAATCGCATTTATGCATGATAGCACATGTGACTGTGATTATGAGAAGCGCAGTGCATACATTATGTTTATAATAGCTCGTACATCGTCCCCTAAATGGCACTTAATGTAAAGCGTAACTACTGAAATGTGCTTAATTGATTGATCAGTACAGAGTCAGCTGATAATGTGTGTTATGAAAAATGACGACGGAGTATGTCGAGAATATAAACGCAGAACCAGAAGTTTTTCTGTCATGATGTTATCGCTTCACAAGTAGCATCCTGCTGTACACAAGCACATCTTTTCACACATAGTGAAAGCCTGCGTCCCCCCACCCCCTCCTATCCGCCATACCACAGATTGTATACAGTCCAATACAGTACATTAGCAACCACACACAGGCACCCCGGCTAGGCGGTTTAATTGAGTTCATTCCTCTTCTATTCCCTCTCCACCGGCTTATTTATTTATTTGTGTGTTTCTTGATCAAAGTCTAATCTGGTGGAAGCAACAGCAGCCATCTACAAGAGAGATTTTAATTGATTCAATTTAGCTGCAGTGCAGGGACGGGCTGGCAATCACAAAGAGCGAGGCAGGAGGAATGATTAGCGCGCCGGCAGCGGTGGGGCAGCAGGGTAGAGCTCTCCCACCCCCTCGGCCTCGATCCACCACACTCACCGGGGTCCTGAGACACGCTGAGGCACGAAGGGCGCAAACAAACCAGGAGCCAGGCTGAAGCATCTGACTCTCTGCTGGTTAGTTACCACAAACTGACCGGGCAAAGGACATTCGAGCCTCGCCAACAACAGACCGTAGGTTGTAAAAATTACTCAGATTTTCTAACGCATTGAAAAGTGAAGAAGAAGAAAGTGTGATATTATAACTGCAGCAAATCCTCCACGACTGTTGTTGTTAATTCCCTCACCTTTTACTAAGTTGGATGAATTATATTCAGCTCGACTTTGCCGAGATTTTAAAGTTGCGAAGCGATTTTTTAAAGGTGCTTAACGTACCGCAAGAAAGAAAAGGAACATTTAGAGATTCAAGGATTAGAAATGAGTCAACTTGGTGAAGGACAAACGTTTTATCATCTTAACCATAGGATTTATTTTAAAACCCTACTCGAGGGTTCCAGCTTTCAAACCGCTAATAAATAAGTCAGGAATAATAAAAGCAGAAATATTTAGGAAGACATTAAGTTATATAAAAAAAAAAAGCTTTAACAAAAAAAAGAAGAAATAATTAAAAAGACAACTCAAGTGAAAACAAGTACAAATCAATGAAGGAGCTGATTGACCATCTGAAGGAGCCACTCCACCGTCCTCACTGAGCTCATGATGTCTTTGGTGATGTTCTGGTGATTTTATTTTATTTTTTTTTTCTGCGCCCACAGCGTGAGGCCAGACACGCTGTGCAGGACAGATCATACGTGTGTCTATGTCTACGGTTTGGCTAAACGC